ACAATTTAAGGGTCAAAATTTCAAACGCTGGCAACAAAAGATGTTGTTTTTCTTAACACAACTTAAGTTGTCAAGGTACCTCACTGAAGAGGAACCAATCCCAGAGGAGGACAATGCCCAATCTCTAGCTAGTTGCCAACAATGGAAACATAACAATTTCATGTGTTGGAACTTTGTGCTGAACGGTTTGGATGATTCGTTGTATGGTGTTTTCTCCAAATATGTTACATCCAAGCAACTTTGGGAAGCGATTGATCATAAGTATCGGGTCGAAGAGGCTAGCCAAGGGCGAATGGTGGTAGTCAAGCTCCTAAACTACCGTATGGTAGATACAAGGAGTGTTGTGGAACAAGTAGATGAATTGCAAATCATCTTCCACAACATGACGGGAGAAGGCATCATGGTAAATGAACGATTCCAGGTGGCAACTCTGATTGAAAAATTGCCTCCGTCCTGGACGAGTTTCAAGAATGACCTGAGGCAAAAACCTAAGGACATGTCTTTGAAGGATTTACATCGTCGTGTGAGAATTCGGCAGGAGTCTCAACCTATTCTTAAAATGAATGGGCAGTTTGGATCCAAGGCAAATGTTGTTGAGATGACTAAGGCCAAAGGGATTAAAAAGCGGAAGATTGATAAGAATGTTAACTCCAAGAAATTCAAGGGGAATTGCTACGTCTGTGGCAAGGCTGGACATCTGGCGAAGGATTGTTATCATCGCAAGGAAGGTGCCCAGAAGAAAATTGGGAATAAGACCCAAGCTCATGTAGCTGAAGTGGAAGATGGAGATTCAGAATTCGTAGTAGTTGTGTCAGAAATGAACATGGTCGGAGATAATCCGAGAGAATGGTGGATTGACACTGGAGCAACCCGCCACATTTGTGCTAACAAATGGATGTTCATTACCTATGACACTGTCACCGGAGAAAGTTGCTATATGGGAAACTCTGCTGCATCCAAAGTGGAAGGCAAGGGTTCAGTCATTTTGAAGATGACATCTGGAAAGAAG